CGTCGCTGGATTATTTACCTACAACGATGATTTCAACAAGTTCAAGACACATCTGCGGGACTTCTTGATTTCTTTGAAAGAAAATCCGGGTGACAACGCCGAACTATATGCAGATGAAAGGGAACAGGAAGCACGAGACGCCAAGGCCGCCGAACGGGACCGTGCATTGAAAGTTGGAGGGCTGTTGAAGCCGTCTGAAATGGACCAGGACGAAGAGATTTGACTGGAGAGAGAACTGCGCGCCGAGGTCTCTCTGTTCTTGGAGGCTGAAAAAGACTCCGAAGCATGCAGTGACATGTTTGATGGCTGGTCGTATTATGGTTTCTGATTTCGACCAGAGCCCAAGGCTTATCGTACCCAATCAAGACTAATTCGCTTGTGGGCAAAGTCATCTTACCACGAATTTCTACTTCCTCTTCTTCATGCTCTACGGCGAATGAATTCTAATCCATCTCATCTCGAGGCTCCCTTGATGTGATTGACATTAGTAATTTATTGATTCTTGTACACATTTGTTCCGTTCAAGCGGGAGCCCAGACGAATATCATTTCTTGTTGGTGGCTTGAGAGAGGAAGGTTCTTTCAAAAAGTGTATATCCATTCATATAGAGGCGGCTTGTCTTCGTTGGTATTATCGAGATAGTACTATGATGTGTCTAGAGAGAGACTCTGCAACAAGAGTTGAAAGTTTGTCGTCTCCCCCAACGGCCTGGCCTGAGGCTTGTATGGCAAAGGAGGATGCATCCGAGCTATATCTAGTAGATTAGTATTAGTTGCAATCGATTCGACATAGGTAAGTGAGGCATGACTGAACATCGGATCAAAGAAGCAGGCAGCGCAAGCTAATTGGCAGCCCGTGTACCATTGTACGTAAAATTACCTACTTTTGTGAATTCTTAATATATTGTTTAGTTGATTTGAGACATTGGAGGTTTATTTCCATATGTATTATTATGAGATTACTACTCTATAGATAGGATAACTCCAGATGGCACATCAGTAGTATATTCTTTCTATGCAATAGCACGTTCACTATCACATCAGAAATAGGATATGATTTATGTATTTTACCTTGCTCCAAAGTGACTCTGACATCGGACTGCTACTAGAGCCCTCAAGGGGTATTATTCAACTAGAGGAAAAGAACGCAATTGAAATGCTTTGAGCAATAGGTTAAGGGTGTCAAGTTACTAAATACAACTTGATATACAAGACAAGTCTGTCCAATTCATCGCGTTGCCTGTCTGCTGTGTACTGATTGTGTTGACTAACGTTAGCGTCACTGACTAATTAGTCCAGTTAGTTAACTAGTCATTACTTAGTTGAGGGTAGTGCTTACTCATCGGTGGGGATTAACTAACTGCCCACGTACGTAGTTAATTTGCACCTAGGGCGGCGAGAGCGGCCTCTTCCCGAGGACGGAAGGATTGTGTTAGATTGATAAATGATTGTAGCCCGCTGTGCTTAACTAGTATTGCAGGATATCTCAACTGTGATGACACTTACCCATCACCTATACCTATTACCGCGAGTTCCCGACTTGCCAGGATGCCTCAAGTTCATCAAACAGCTCCAACGTCAACCAGTGGCTCCAGAACCGAGTCACTAGCGGAGTCCAATGAGGGCCCTTCAACAACCCGTATATCAGCAACTCTGAGACTACGTGCAGAAAGTGCAGAAGACCGTTCCATATCCAATGAGCACGTTGAAATTCGGAATCCAGCTCGGCATATTCAGTGGAGAGATGACGTTATCGACAACGAAGGAATGGGAAAGAAAAGCTCCAAAGGTGAGAAAGCACCCGTCCACTCTGAAGCCAAGCCAATGCCTTCCACAACACATCGCTCATCTGTCTCAAGTCTGCTGCATATACCATAAAGCTCGACCTGTCGGTGAAAGTAGCTCAGAATCAGAATCGTCTGATTCCAGTGAGTCCGATGCCGATTCCGATAACGGCGCTGATGATCAGACTCACCGTAACGGCGGGCGGCGGTCTCGTCACCACATGAGTTGTGACCACAACAGCCCTGGACATACATCATCAGAACGGACTTCCGATACCGGGAAGACAAGACGAAGAAAATTTAGCCCCAATGCCTACGAGAAGATGCCTAAGACAACAAGGGGTCGCTGAGCATGCTCGAAGCAAAGAATAGATTTCCGTGAAGAACTTGAAGCTCACCGTAATCAAACCCACACACATGTGTTCGGAACGTTGCATCAAGCTTTATTCAAGCATAGTAACCCAGTCAATCCAGGGACAGCCGTGATGATCGAATTCACATCCATAAACCAATTGATCTATACGAGCCAGCGTGGCCTAGCTTCGAAAGTGGCGCGTTGCCATCCATGCGAAAGAGAGCCCCACTCATCCCTTATGACGTTGCTCATCTCAACACATACGCCATACTCTCATACGTTTGGTTTGAAGCCTCAAGACCTAGACTCATGATGGCGCGCAATGTCTCCCATTCCATAGCTTCTCAGGCAGTTATGACCTGACATGAACCCAGTCTAATTATTGATATTATGTACATAGTATTGCTTGGTCGGCAGGGCTGCGAAACATTTACAGCATCGTACTCCTTCTCGCGGCGGCACGCAGGGATCGGCCACCTTGCTTTGTCTCTGCTGAGACGGATGTAGTCGAAGAAATCTGAAATATTTCTGCTGAAGCGCGCCTGTCGTAATCCGGTTGCTCAAGTCTCTCGTTGACTTTGATAGGCGATACTTTGAAAAGACTCGGTGTGATATCTCGGGAATCCTGGACCGCCTCGTCTGGCTTGAGTGTGTCTTGTTCGGAGGCTTTTAGGCTCGATAAGCGCCGCTTCGATTGTCTAGCAGTAGCTGGCTGTGGCTTGTGTGCACGCGATATTGTCTTTGCCATACTGTCACAGGGGGCCTCTGTGAATCGCGTGCTGAGACCTTCGTCTGAACTATTCTTGATTGAGAGTGCAGCAGTATATTGGCCTTCCGGCTCATGTTCTTGAATCCCGAGATCGGTCAACGGATAATCAGAACGCTCACTACTCCCCTCGGCTGTCTCGCGAGTCGTTGCATGGTCGTATCTGCTTGCGAGAGAGAGCTTGCGCTTCCTTTGTGACACCATCTTCATACTCTTTGAGGGAGATGCCATAGCTGAATTTAACACAGGTGACGGTGAATCAGTCCCTGTAGTACCCAAAACTTGCGACTTGACTGTGTCCGACTTGCGCCGCCGATACGCATCCCCATCTTCTCCCGTGCTCATAGGGATGTCAATTGTGCTAGAGGTTCTCCGTGTTCGATCTCCCACTGCCGCGACTAACTCGTTCGTCGGCCGGCGCATCTTATCGCGCAGATTAGGCTCTGCATAACTCACAATAGCCCTCTGGCGCCTTGTCGGTCGAGATGACCCAGTGGCACCACCTACTACTGCATCCCTTATATCCGCTCCCGACTTTGGCTGCTCAAGTCGATCGATTTGGGTCAGGGACCCCAGACTCCTTGCCTCGTATGCCATACCGACATTCCTGGCTTCTGCTTTGGAGGTATGGTGCGTCAGCGCTCGGCCGAGCGTTTCACCCTTGTTCTGCGTGTATGATGTGGCCTCTACAAGGCCTGACCCATTCCCCTTATCACCAATTGCTGCTATGACATCATCTTCACGCGAAAAGTGTGCATCATCGAGCATGGAATCGAAAGCTTTTCTCGGCGAGGGAATGCTGACATTGGTGCTTTCTATACTTCGGATTAGATGTCGACCCGCACGATAAGGATTAAACATTGGCCTTACTTTGTTTCAGTATCCTCCGTCTTGCTTGCTTGACATTTTTATTGCTTTCGTTAAGTGGGTGATTGTCTTCCTTAAATGGTGATCTGCCTGATGTTGGGTCAATTGGGTCGACTGCCCCGAGGGGTGAACGAGTTTGCCGATATTCAAAATCGTCGTCCTCGTTCAGCGGACTCTCGAATCGGTCTTCAATATCTGCCGAGAACTTTCGTTTTGCACCCAGGCTCGGCCCAGATATCGGGTTCTTTCGCATAGGAGCTGCCTCGTAAGCGGCAGGATTATTCTCTGAAATCGTCGCATCAAGTTCGCGTTCCTCTTTTACATGATCCTTTGTGAGTGGAAGGAGCACATCGGCATGGTTTGGATCCATCCAACTCTCGAGCGACCTGTTGATTGTGGACTCCTCGTTTGGAGGAATTGAAAAATCTGTATCCATGGTGGCCAGCGCCCGAGTTGCCGGAGACTGGTGATCAATAGCATCACTGTCGAGCACACCTTGTATCTCGTGCGGGCTGTGAGCAGTAAGCATATATATTATGTAGAGACAACTGCATTGTATGCTTACTCCAGCGTCTTTCTTGGGAAATACTTGTCTTCGAGTATCGCAGGAAGCTTTCCTTCCTCCTCACAAGCGAAATTCTGCTCCATTTCGGCGGTCTTGCGCGCCCAGTTAAGGGCTGACTGTGATGGCTGCGTCGGGCTCCTGATTTGCGCGGTATTATGCTTTTTTCTGTAGTCGCGCGGTAGCTCACCCAGCTCAGTTACCAGATTGGTCAATTCCGTCAATTTAGCATCCAGTCTTGACTTGATGTCATAGACCCCGTCCTGGAGTATCTTAACAGCCTGGTATCTTTCTAGCTCCTGATTAAGTGTTATCGCTTCCTCTCGCAGAGAAACATTTTCGGCGAGTAAATGAGAAACCTCCGACTCGAGGCTACGGATGCGGAGGGACTGTATGGAATTGACCCGGGCGATTTCACGGTTCTGCCGCACGAACCGCCTCTTCACTAGTTATCCGTCAGGAGACTTGTCTTTGAGGGAGTTGCAATGTTGGACTCTGCTGTGTGGAACTTACAGCCTTCGATGGACTCCGTCGTTGTTGTTGTCGTTGATTCATTCAATCGAGCCATGCTTGTGTCCTAAACGCAGACAGCGGCAGTTGAATCTCCTTCTCAAGCTGTCGCCAAGTTGATTAGCCCTTCACGCGGGTGGATGGAGAGATTTCCGCGATGGGGCCCTTGTCGCCTACAGTAGAATGAGTTGGGCAAGATCCCACGGAGGATGGCAACAGATAAACACGATGCAGTTTAGCTTGTTGACAATTGTCCTATTTTGTACTAGTGGTGGCGGCCCCGTCCCGCCCCTCAGATGGCACTTGGCCATCCATGTCCAGTCGACGGCACTGTTCTGGATCATTGCGTACTTATTTGCCTGACACCGCACCTCTGTGACAACAACTCCACATCGCTTGAGACCATACACATGAACTGAGCTTACATTCTCACTTTACCAACTCCAAGCTTTCCGGCCCCCTGTAGGGTAACCAGCGACAGCTCTCTTACTCCTGGATATCTGTTGCTTCAGCTGGCCGCGATGCTACCTTCGAGTACTTTCGCAGCAGCCTCCTTTCGTCCGCCGAATCACTCATCGGCCGTCGCTCAACAACAGTCATCGGCCTTGGCAGCGCGTATAGCTTCAAAGAAGGCCGAGCTAGAAAATCTGAGGCAACTGCGAGACATGAGCTGTGCACTGGCAGAACAGATGCAAGCCTTGGAAATCAAGATTGGAACTCTTAGAGATGGAACTGAAGGTATGTTCCCAGGCCAGTACATTCGTTTAGCTGCTGCTGAATCTCTCCGCTCTCTATTGTTAGCCGTCGCCTGTGTTCTTGCGAACTGGGACAATGTGCTGAGAGCGATTAGTATGGCCTCGGGTGAGCATTTTGCCTACTCTTCTCGTGTCTCAGTTCTGGTGGATGCATTATGCTAATATTGCCAACCATAGTGAATCCTGTTAGCCTTGGCTTCGCAGGCAAGAGCGATCCGAACAACCCACAATTACCCGCAACCCTCGTAAGAGTACCAGCTGAGTCTCAAGATGCATCAGGGGACCGGTGATAAACGATCATTGGTAGACATGGCACAAGCCAGCTTTCCATGATTATCAGATCAAGTATGGGCTGCCGTAATCCGGTAGAGAAGGCTCATATGATAGATACGACGAAAGGTGTCTCTGTTGAGCATGGCACCTCCAGCTCAGGTGTTGCATTCTGTGACCTCGCGGTCGTTGGGTATTCTTGGAGCATGGAGCTATTGAAGCATGCGCTTTCCCACCTCGGGGCAGAGAGCTTAGGCAGTCCTAGCTGAGACTATTCTGAAATTTTCGCTCGGGGCCAAGCCCCGTATACTCTTGTCATGACGCATGGAAGAATGATGGCTTCGCGAGCCATGGGCTTTGTTCATGCTTGGTTCGGATCGTACCGTTCGCGGATTGACCTCCGAGATACTTGTCATGTTTTTTTTGCCAATCGGGTACTCAAAAGGTTTGTGTGTCCGCAACAATAACAACACAATAGAAGCCAGAGCTTATGATTTTTTATTCTTGAGCTATCTGGTTTTCCATCAACCTTTGCCCGAAAACCGGACTAGATCTTGCCGAGAGGCTCTTCCTGCTCTGTCGCCTTCAGTGTTCTGGCCAGTGGCAATCTGAGCAAACAAGACTTTTCTAACTGTTCAACTTGTGAAAAAATCGGTGTCTCGTATGGCCCGCAGGCGTGTCACATGTTAAATTGCTGCTGCACCTCTTCCCGCTTCTACTTCCGAACCTGGTGAGGTCCGTAGGTCGGCGTTCATACCTAGCCTAGGCGAAGTTCACAGTGTCGATGTAGTTTGCTTACTACTACCCACTGGCAGCACGGGTTCGAGTACGACCCCTTCTGTGCTGGGCTCAACTTGCCAGTTGCCAATATCATGTGCTGCCTTGTGCCCTACTTGCTGGATATGTATCTGATCGTTGTGGGTCAGCGGCAAATGTTGACAGTGTGATATGCGAATCCTTCGAGCTGGGTGATGGGGTATTCCACAGTGGTAAATTCCTTCGGTGCTTCTGGACTGGAGAAGCTGACCCGATTCATGCTCATTCCCGAGATGGAAGATCACCGGCATGGAAAAAGGAATCATGGATAAGCGCAGTATATATAATCAACTAGGGACTGGGTACATGTCAAAGGGGCTGTGGTTTAGTGGTATAATATTCCCTTAGCATGGGAGAGGTCCGGGGTTCGATTCCCCGCAGCTCCACTTTTTTTCGATTTGCTCAGCGCAACTAGTTAACTACCAAGTTCTAGAGACGCCTATATAATGTTTACTAGTGTACGTACACCTCTAACATAATTAGTAAGCGGACGGATCACGCAAGCCAACGGATCACCCTATAATCCCATGTAAAAGATAATTTTTAGAATATCAATAACTCAACTACTATATCTTATATATATAAGGGATCTGTTATTCTATTTTATATTATTTTAAATAAAAACTTTAAATCTTTAAAATTAGAAATATCTCTTAATTACCAAAATACTAATACAGAAATTAGTATTAAACTGTATAGCTAATTTTCTCTGTAATTAATCTTTACAACTAGATGAAATTAGAAACAATAATAGTTTATAATCTTAATAATCTATATTATTAGTATACAGTTCTTAGTTTATATAATAGTTGAGATATCTTATAATTTTAACAGTAATTTTATATAGATTATAAGATAATCTGTTCGCTTGCCTCATCCGTTCGCTTATTAATTACGTTATAGCAAATCTGGTTGTTTTGGTTTATCAGTACCGAAGATGTCTAGGTAGCATACACCCATGTTACATGTTTGTGTAGCCCGGCCTAAGTGACCATTAGCTATTATATTCAAAAATAAATACTGAAAGACTCTGACATTAGTATCGACCATATAAACTCCAATAGAAAGATAAAAAAACAAGACCCACTGATATAAAATCCTAATCAACAACAATATCTTCAGCCCAGAATGACTCCAATGACTCCTAATATAAGTGTTTTGACAAAGATACATGTATTTCCATTACCAAGCCGGCCGTATGGGAAAGACCACTGGTGTCACTATCAACCATCCCTTCCATGGCTCCGCCCAGCGTTGGAGGAGGGCCTGGGCTGCTGTGCAACGCAGTGTCTAATTCGGCCGATGGAAAAACCTGCTTGCTGTACAGTACACCCTCTTTGAATCCTTTCGTAATGACAATGGACTCTGTGTTCATAGCGGTGTCATGGTTCGCGAACTACTGGACGACTAATTTTCCAGATGTCTGGACTTCTATATACTATGCCCGGGTGCCTTCAAAATGTAAATGTGGGCCAGTGGCAACTTTTTATGACCGCCTTCATTTACCTCTACCGCTTCCTCTATAGGCATGACCTGAAGCTCTTCCACGAATGCTAATCATGGGTTGTGATAAAACCGGCAGATCTCAAATTATCTAATCCAGTTCCCTTTTTATGTTCTTAAGGCACCTTAACGTAATCGGTAAGCAAACAGATTATGTAAGCAGGCGGATCAGGCTATGTCAACCACTTGCATTCTCAACTTTATAAAATTATTTAACTATTAAAAACTCTACTAAAACTGTCTTAATTATTAAATAAATTTATAAATTAAAAAAGGCGAATTTAAAAAGCTATACAGACTTTTAAAAATAGCAAAATTCGAACAAAAAAAAACAGCAAGTATTTTTAAAATTTCTTATATATTTTTTTATAAACAGCTTACTGAAACTGCTGTAAAAAGTTAAATTTCTATTAATTTTATAAAATTTTTATTAATTAAAAAAATTATTTATTTAATAAATTATTTTTTTTTAATAAATATAGCATATTTTCTTACTTTTTATATATATATAAAATAGCTAATATTATTTTTATTAAGTAAAATATAAATAATCTATTAAATATCGGTAAAGGATAGATATATAATTTCATAAAAAAATATAAAAGTTTAATTAAAATATATTAATTTTATTTTTTTAATTATAAATATATAAAATAAAAAGATTTAAAAATCTTAAGCTAGTAGTTTAACCGATTTTAAGTAGTAATTCTAAAGTATAAAATTAAAAATAAAAATACTTATAACTTTAATAAAACTAGTTTTACTATAAATTTTTTTAAAATATTAAAATAATTATATAGTCTAACTACCTCAGTCAGTTCTTTTTTATACAGTCTAAAAACTATAAATAAATAATATTAATTAAATATATTAATATTATAAACTAGACTTTAAATCTATATATTATTTTTAAAAATAAGATTTATTAAAAAATATAATATTAAAAATAAAAACTTCTATAGAACTAGTAGATTAATATATTATTAAATAATTAAATATTAAATAATTGTAACGGTGGTCACAATATAGAGAAGGATGATTGTTGTATTATTACTAATTACTAGCTATGCTGGATACAAGTATGACTATTCTATTAGCGGTGTGTTAAGTAGTAATATTCTGCTGTTCTCTACGATATTCCTAGTATCGCCTGTTACAGTGCCCCCTCCCCAGGTATAGCAGCGTTCTTGTTGCCTTTATTTACGGCGGCTTTTAATAAAAAAGCGTACGGACTAAATAGCTTTGTTCTAGCTTATTAGCTAATTGTTCAGCTAGTCTAGAATAGTCTTGTGTTCCGTAATTCGAGCTGTTTTAATAGCCTCAGACCTCTCAATAATAGTATTATCGCGGTCGGTTGTTAAAGTATTGCGGTCGGCGACGAGCTGGTTATATTAAGTAGTAAGCTTATTATATTCGGCTGTTAAAGCATCGTATTCAGCGATAGTATTGTCGCGGGCGGTTGTTAAAATATTATAGTTATTTTGTTTTATCTTTAAAGCTCCGCAAACCCTTCTATAATCGTTTATCTATTTATTATATTCGGCGGTAAGAACTGCGACGTTACTAAATAGTTAGTTATATTTTAGAATAACGCGCTTCGAGGCCTCTAATTCTTTGGTAAGATTAATTTTCAATACTTTAATTTTAAACTTGGCCTGTTTACAATCGCGCAAAGCGTTTATCTTTATAATAATTTCATCGAGAAGATTTTTAGTAGCTGGATTAGTATTGCTAGCAGCTGCGGTATCGGTATTTATAATATCAGTATTTATAGTATTAGTATTTACAATATTTTTAACAGCGGCGAGCTTCTTTATTAATTTACTGTTTTTATAAAACAGTTTTATCTTCTTCTGGTTTTCTTTATTAAGATCGAGTCTTAAATATCTAGTCTTTTTTTATATAACTGTAAGTTCGTCGCCGGTACTGTCTGTATTAGTTGTAGTAGCAGATATAGATAATTTATTTTTAACAGTATTAGATATAAACGATTTATCTGTATTAAATATATTATTTTTAGCTGTACTACTCTTTTTCAGAGCCTGGATCTGTATTTTAAAATTGTTAATTATATTCTTAAGATTATTAACTTTAGTATTGTATTTTTTATAAAAATTCTGGTAATAGATGCTTTTTTTTCTTAATTTTAAGCTGTATTATTATAGTATGCGTTACAACAACTGCTCTAACTACAGATTTAAGTATAATAGTTATAGTTATATTCTTTATATATAGATCTTTGATTTTGGTATATTCTGCTTTAAGATATTTAACTATTTTCTGGAATTTATATAGCTAGTAATAAACGCTATATATAACTTATAAACCGGCTGTAACACAGTACTTAATACCGTAAAGTTAGTAGCCGGTTGATAATTATTTAATATAGAAAATATTATATAGATTAATTAGAGGATTATTCACGCAACCGGATTATATATTACTACTGGGTGTAGTAATTTTGTTTTTATTAAATATAATAGCAGAATATTTTTTTAAATACTTATTATTGTTCTTTTTATTATAGTCCTCGATGATCTTATCGAGTTTGGTTTTAAAAAAATTCTTGCTGGCATTAGTTAGTTGGAGAAAAATAAGAAAATTATATTTTTATTAGTACTGGTTCTTTCTTTACTGTAGTATTTTTTTAGTAAAAAACTTAAATACTACAAGAGCTTTCTTTTAATACTGTTTAAAAACA